CGGAGCACAGCTCTAAGACCAAGGGTAAGAGCTGCTTATTGACAGACCCTGTTTGGCATTGAATCTGTTCCCCTCCATGGTCAGCGGTGGGCTCAAATGTTCCTTCGGTTCACAGACTGCTCCCTGTGTCCCCAGCGCCCGGCCCCGAGCTGGTCACAGGACCCACTCAGAGAGGCATATTTTAGCAAGATCGCTTCTAAAATTCACACTGAAGCTGCAAAATCTGAGCTCGCTGTGACGACACAGATTTTCCAGTCTCTCCTCGGGTCACAGATGCGCCGCTCTCTCCATCAGCCTGTCAAAAAGACAAACCTTTCCGTGTCAGGAAGAAAAGCACTGAGATGAAAAAGAAGAAAAAAAAGAAATCTCAAGATCAGATTCTCTGTTCTTTTCTGACTTGCCAGAAACAAACAGTATCTTTCCCAGCTGTGACTGGCAACCTCTCTGGAAACGGTACCAAATTATTACTCCTTCCCTTATGTTAAAAAAAAAAAAAAAAATCAAAGGTATTCAGTTGTCCTTGGCTACAACCAAATTTCTTTAAATATTTCAGTGCATCTCATCTCAAAATACTATGATGACAAGTTCAAGTCATGAAAACCCACGTTGGGAGTTTTGAAAAACATGCTGGGGGGATTACGCAAGTTTTCCATCCATTTGAGTCCTCCTCTGAGGACATGTTCATTTTAAAGAAAAATTGTGGTATTTGGAAGCCTGAAGACTGAACTGCAAACGGTGCTGGCTTCAGGAGCGTGGCCTTCTCCTTCCCTCCAGTGCCGTCTAACTAGCAGGTCCTAGGGGGCACAAACCCCGAGGGGAGGTCACAGGGTGATTTGGGAGGTGCAGGTAGCGTCACAAAGCACAAAGTAGTCACGCACACTGACAAAGTTATTCCTCTGTAATCCTGCAGGCTCGGCCAAGGAGAGTCTCTTCTGGGGGCTGGCCAATTTTTAACGTCCCTAAGGCTGCCACCACCCTTTTTAATAAAGAGAGCAGGCAGGCAGCTACAACATCCAAGTGGAATTTAATAACGTCGGCTTTTATGGCTTTTATGACCTCCTTCTACGTACGGCAAACACTACTGGTTTTCCATTCACGGTAATGATTTAAAGTTTCCTTTTTAACTAAATGTATGTTTTTAAAAGTGTGTACGTTTAAAAGAAAAGCTTAGGTAAATAATAGCAGAGATATGATAGGTTGGATGAAAATGACAAGTTTGGGAAAGTGCAATCAATAAAAATATAATCCAGCTTGCTTCACCTGCTTGCCCATCACTGCAGCTCAAGAGAAAACTGAAATAAATTCCTTTTGCAGCTTGTTGGGGAAGAAAGTGCGTCCAGAAGGAAATTCACCAACTATTAAAAGCGAGTCCCTTTAGGGACAGAGCCTGGGAGGAAGGTAAAACAGTCACTTTTTACTTTAAACACATCTGAATTATTTGAATTTTTGTGTTGCAGGGAAATTAACCCTTTGTCTGACATCTCGGGTATAAATCTTTTTTCCAGATTGGTCCTGTGTGTTGTCTTTGTGGTATCCTTGGCCTGCAGAACTTATAGAGTCAAAAAAATCATTCTTTATCGCTTCTGAGTTTCCATTTTGCTTAGGAAGGTCTCCCCAGCCCCCAGATTGTGCCTGTAGTATCGTAACCCCATCACTGTCCTTGTTTCTCACATTTCCCTAGCTATTCTGGGATCATTTATTCCTCCACAGCAACTCTAAGATCATATATTTATGTGAGCATGCATTACTTTAATAATCTTCAAAATGAGGTTTCTTTTACTGTTAAAAAGTGGAAGCAGGGTCGGTCCCATGGCCTAGTGGTTAAGTTCGGCGCGCTCTGCTTTAGCATCTTGGGTTCAGTTCCTGGATGTGGACCCACACCACTCGTCAGCAGCCATACTGTGGCAATGACCCACATAAGAAATAGAGGAGGATTGGCACGGATGTTAACTTAGGATGACTCTTCTTTAGGAAAAAAAGAGGAAGATTGATAACAGATGTTAGGGTGAATCTTCTTCAGCAAAAAAAAAAAAAATGGAGAGGGGTCTTTCAACATCTCTTTCTTATATCCCAAGAACTAAGATGTTCCAGAATCCTAGACAGAAAGTGGCTGAGAATACATCAGGCACTGGGCCCTCGTCCACTGAGAGGCTCCCTGAGCCTCCTGCACCGGACAGGCCAGGGGATGGGAGGATGGAGTCCTGAACTCCAGAAGACCCTCTGGACAAGGTCCCTCAGATAAGCAAGCACACTGCAGGAGGGTGATTGTGAGGCGAGCATGTCACAACCACATTTCTGGCCAGGGGCGGATGCTCTTGCTGGAACCCCATGGAAATGGTGCTGGCGTGAACGAGAACCAGCCCTGGCTGCAGGCAACCTGAGATGGAGCTCGCACTGGCTCTCAGGGTCCTACTGTGTGCAGGACTGCCCATGGGCAATAGCCCTCAGAAAGGACAGAGTGAGGAAAATGTCCGTGACATGATGAAAATAGGGGGTGCAGTTCACGGGGCTCTCCCCATGTGCGTCTGAGTCCTTCCCCCACCCAGCTGCTCCCATCGTTGACCCATTTCACAGATAAGCCTCTCAGAGAGCTCAAGTCTTCCACCCACGTTCACATAGCTCAGAGCACTTGTCGCTGTTCCCTCCACACCCACACCACTGCTGGGTGCCAGAGTCGGACAAAACACTGCTGGCACCACCCTGGAGGGAAATATTCCTCTTCGAATGTGCATCTGCCTTACGTATGTATATTTATGAACAAATGAACTCAACACTCGCACGTATATACACGGAAACGACTGAGCATGAATCATCGTCTGAGAAGCGAAGGAGATTCAGCAGCTTTGATGCTGGCAGCCAGCATCTTCGAACAGACGAGACAAAAAAATGAGAGCCACTCTTTCTAAACGTTCTTGCATTGAACCCAAGATATGTGCAACGCCTTGTTGCTTAAAAATGTCGAACCCTTCAAATGCACAGCTCGGTAAAGTCTCCACTATTTCGCCTCCCATTTCTTGTCTCAGAGTTCTTGTGAGAGAACACGAGTGACACGACACGAAGCAAGGTCCTGGGCTGCTTCTCCCTTATTGACTTTTTAAAAGTTTGGTGTCCAAGTGACTTGATAAACCCAGACCCGAACAATGGTATTTGCCGCAGAATTTTGGGATCAAAATACAATTTCAAAAATAATATATTTTCTGACATCCTCCAAGAAAAAAATTACTGGTTTCTCCCCTCTAAAAGGATTTAGATGGAATAACATCTGTGTTGAGAATATTGTGAATATGTTAAACTGACAGGCAGTCTCTGAGGCACTCTGCTCATTAATGTTCTGTGCATAAAATTAAAACTTGAAATATATTTTTAAATCCATTTTGAATCATTTAAGCAATTCTCCCGCAAAGAAACCATTGTGCTGAAATAATATATTTGGAGCGAGGAATATGAAAGCTATTAAATGTCTTAGACCCCCTGCCTTTCATGGGAAGAAGGGGAAAAAATGTTCTTTCTCTCTGATTTGAAAGATGCTCTGTATAAAATATACCCACCAAAAAAAAAAAACCACTTTGAAATTATATTTGACTTAAGCCCACAGGAGCCAAGAACTCAAGTCGGACTTCGTACTTCCGCCTTAGCGTGCACGGTGAGCTGGGCGCGGCTCAGTGGGGGTGTGGGAAGGCCCAGCGAGGGTGTCACCCTCCCTCAGGCCACAGCACTCCCAGCTGGGAGCACAGAAGCCCAGAGGAGGGAGGAAGACAGAGGCGCGAAGACTCCTGGGTTCGCTCCTGCCTTGTCCTGATTTCTGCAAATCCGTCCCCTACACTCAGCACACTGACCAACCAGCTGGTCTCTGGAGCAGCTGGCATGAGTGTGTCCTAAGAACACACATTCTCATCATTGTCTCCTTTGTCCATTGAGTGCCAACCAGGAGCCATCTCTGTACCAGATGCTGAGAGTTCAGCGTTGAGCAAAACTCACCTGTGAAAACTCGCTATGAGAACACGCTGTAAGGGAAAGGAGGAGGGGCATGGAAGCCTTCACGGAGGAAGCGACAACAGAGCTGCTCTCTAAGGGAAGAGTAAGGGAAAGTGCGTTTCAGGCATAGGGAATATCAGGTGCAAAGGCACTGAGGCAGAAATTGGCTCCATGGAAACCAGTCCAGTGTGACAGGAGCAGATTGTGAGGAATGGGTGAGAGAGGTTGGAGGTGAGGGTCAAGGTAAATGGAGCCCAGGCGGGACGGCTGCTACCATGAGAAGCCCCTACTTGACCCTAAGGGCAAACACCTTCATTGTGCCATCACGCTCCGGGCTTCGTGCAAACACCTTTCACTTATGGTGTCAACGCATTTCTCCTCATGACAACTGTCGGGGTGGGTGTTATGATCCCCATTTCATAGATGAGGAAAGAGCCTTCTCAGCTTTGCATAGCTGGCAAGTAGGAGGAGGGGAGTCGAACCCCAGGAGCCTCGCTCGGCGGCCCGGCCCTCACCCCACCTCAGCGTCACTCATGGGAACAAGGCAGGGCCCCTGGGGGCTCAGCGCAGGGAGGCAACCCGCCCAGTCTGTGACCATCAAGCACACTCTGGCCGCCAGGTGGGAGCGATGAAGGGCCGAGACAACGTGCAGGGACCCGGAGGTGGCTGATCAGGCGAGATGGAAGGACAACGCTGTCGAGGCGCCACAGACAAGCTAGTTCCCACCCCATGGATTGGGGCAGTGGTTCCTTCTGCCAGGACCCCATTCTTCTGGTCCCCACCACTCACCCCTGCTCATCCTTCGTGCCTCAGCCCCAAGCGGGGGGACCTCAAGGACAAATGGGAGACCCTGTGACCCCGAAGGGCTCCAGGTCAGTCTTGAAGGGTGAGAAGCATGTGAGTGGGAAGACGCATTTTGGGCAGAAGACCCAGCAAAGGGCCAGAGGTGGGTTGGAGCACCCCCCAGCTGGGTGGGGAGGGAGCCTAACGATTTAACCACATAGCACAACGCACCACGGACTCACCAGCAAAACGTTTTCTGTATCGGACCCCCAAAACTTGTTTTCCTGTAGAAGCCATCTTGTTGCCAACCATGTGAGAAGCTGATCGTCCCAGGAGATAAAAACCAAAATTGCGCAGGACTTTCCTTTTTCCCTGAACGAGGAGCAGCAAACACACAGCAGTGTGACAAGATCTTAAGTAAAAGATAAAGTGGAAATGACAGCTGAGCTATAAGCAGATGAAGGCCGGATTGTCACCAATCTGTAATCAGGAACCCCTAAGTTGGGCACAGGTCATTTTGGTTCAATTTGCTGCAAATGTCATTGCTGCCTTCCTCACCCCTCCACCCCCATGTGTGCTGGCTCAGTTTGTGGTACCGAGCCCCAGCCCTAGTCACACCTCAGCATCATGCTCGGAGTCCCCTGTAATGTCCATTTCCTCCCCCACAGACACTGGGCTGATGACCTGCACAGTGGATGTTTGCCGGGTTTACCTGCTTACACCTTGACCATCTCTCAGGAACCAACACGTCTCCCTGCCCAATAGGTGTCACAGTGGATGCATGACCCCAGCTCATGGATCAGCCCTTCTGTCTGCTGGCCATGGTGGTCCTGTCAGAGATGGGCACTCGTGTTAGTCCAGCCAGAGAGAATCCTGAACTTGTGCAGGAACAACAAGGAAAGAGGGACCCTCCATCCAACCTGGAGCCTGGAGCTGCTGATGGCCACTGCCAGAGAGAATCTGCCTGAGACAAGCCAGCAGGGAGCCATGCAGGGCCAAAGGGTGGAGGAGACCAGGTCCTGATGGCACCACTCGAACTCCTGGATACAGCCTTACCTGAAGCCTCTGAACTCTTCATATACAGGAGCTAAACAATTCCTCTTTTTCATTCAAGCTGATGTGCGCTGAATATCTAACACTTTCAAGTAAGAGTCCAGACTAATACATCCTCCTAATTTCTCCCATATCCCACCATATCTAAGTTTTTCTCCCCACCCAAAATGCCACTTCTCTGGGCCAAGGTCCTGTCACCACTTGTCTAGGTATCACTAACAACCACCCAACTGGTCCCCTGGCCTCCAGTCGGCTTCGCAGTCCATTCTCCAGGCCAGAGCACCCTACACAAAGTAAGACGCCATGTGCCCTTCCCCAGAGCAGAGGCTCCCCAGCCAGGACAAAGGCTGAGCTGACAACAGGACTTTCCAGGGTCTTATACTTGTCAGCAGGGCTGCAGGCGCCCCCAGCAGTGGGCTGCCCTTTCTTCCTGAAGGCTCCAAGCTCCCTCTCACCCGGGAGGACCAGCAGCTTCCCGGCGGGTCTAGAAGTCTCCTCTGTCTTAGACCCAGGAGCTCCCTCCATAATGCGCAGCTTCGGGCATCGCACAGATCTCAGGAGCTCAGCCTTGGCTCTCTGCTCCCTCTCTCTTCCCCCAGGCACAGAAAAAGCAACGAAGGACAGTGAGGCCGGCTGCGGAGAGCGGCCCCCTCAGCTGCATGCCAGATACTGTCACCAGTTCCCAGCCGCACGCTCCCTTTCAAGCCTCTTTGATGAGCAGACAGTCAGGAGCTGGGAGCCATTGCAACCCTATTCCTATCAACTAGCTTGAAAGACCCAGCCGGTCCAGAGAGCCTCAAAAATCACAGCGCTAGTGAATCTCTGAAATAACGGATATTCCCACCTTCGCCTTCTGGATTTCATAGAGCCCCAAGCTTTCATTTAAAATCCATTTTATATGAAGTTATCTGAAAATGAACAATAGGAGCCTCAAAGAGACGTCTCCCCAGACGCCTGCGTGAAGGATGCTGGAAGAGATCCAGCCACAAAGTCAGCTTGCCTGTTAGATCAAATACGCAGGTCCCAGCGGGTCCCATCTCCTCGTCCTCGACAGGAAAGGGCCTCCTCCTGACACGGAGGTGGGGACCACGTTTCTTAGCCCCTCAGGTTGCCATTTCATGTCCTAGGTGAGGCTTCCAGCAACAGAATAGCTGGAACAGACTTCACTCAACTGAACAAGTATCTGCCGAGGGCCTACTGTGTGCTAGGCACGGACCAGGGCCTGGATCTGGAGGGGGAATGAGACCTAGGCCTTAGACCACTCTCACCAGGAGTTCAGCACATAGTAGGTCCTTCACAAATACCCAAGAGATACTCATCTAGAGGGCCTGTTACTCAAGCCTGGTGGGGGTGGACAGAAAAGAGCAATGCTATTCACTTCCTTTATAGTCATTAGGAATTGTTTAAATTGTAACATGGCAAATGACAGATTCTTGACTATTTTCCATCGAAGAGGCCTAAATGGCTATTCCAGGTGAGCTTTCTCCCTTAGTTTGCCACATCGATGACTAAGCGTATCTAGATCTTGGATTTCTATCTTCATAGCTGTGTGACCACAGACAAGTGGCTTAACTTCTCTGATTCTGTGTCTGCCTCTGCAAAATAAGAATGATCATCATTCCTACCTCATGGGGCTGTTGTGAGGTTGAAATGCAGTGACACTTGGGAAATACTTATTATAGTAAGTGCTTAATAAACTTCAGCGATCATTCATCATCATCATCATCATCATCATCAGAGTGACAGCCAAGTGGCATATGCAGCAGGAAGGGAAAATGAAGCTCTATAAAGCAATAGCCACAGAGCGGCTCCAGGGGCCAACTGGAGCCATGGGGAGCCCTGAGGGTGGCCCAGAGCTCTAGGATCGCAGTTCTGGTCCCCTGAGCCACCCCTGCAGCTCCTCTGTGCCGCTTCCCTACCCCTCCAGCAGTGACTCTCCCCAGGCTACAGTGGGGGCTGTGGACTGTGCCTGATCCACCCGCCTCCCTGGGGTCTCACACGGCCCGGCACAGAGCAGCCACTCAGCAAATGCTCGCAGAGTGAACCAATGAGCTGCGGCTAAACCGGACCCAGTGCCAAGAAACAGCCGGGGCCGCAGGGGACCAGGATCAAGCAAGTTAAGACAAAGCCCATTTGAACAGAAGGATCTTAAGATCCTCCGCTGGGCACACGACCTTCTCCAGGGAAGGAAAGTTAGATGAGGGTCCAGAGCGAAACAGTCTGCAATCTGTTTTGTTGTAAGTGACAGAAACCCATCATAAACAAAACTGAAACGGGACTTGTTGGTTTCAGGGCTGGAGCTGGCCTCAGGGGCTGCAGACATTCAAATCATCGCTGGATCTCTCCTCTCCTCTCCTCTCCTCCCCTCTCCTCTCCTTCTCCTCCTTTCCCTCCTCCTCTCTCTCTCTCTCCTTCCCTCCCCTCCCCTCTCCACTCTGCACACCGCCCTCAGTTTTTCCTACAGCACCAGACTTCTTCCATTCAGTAGGGGGAGCAGCAGCTGCAGGGGCAGGAAGAGAGGGGCCTTGGCCACAGACAGCTCTAAGCTTTCCTTGTCCCAGTCCAGGGACTGAAAAGGAGCTTTTGTCATCTCAGCCTGGCGTCTGTCTGTAAAATCCCCGAGAAGGACTCTGATTGGCCCTGCTTGAGTCACATGTCCTCTTGCCAGACCAATCACCACAGCCAGGAGAATGGCGTCTGGGGATTGCCAGGCTGGCTGGGGTTGCGGCAGTGAAACAGCTGGTACCCCAGAACCAAGCACGGAAGGGGATGGTCCGCGAAAGATCTCGGGAGCACGGTCTTCCTCCTGTCTCTCATGCAATCTCAGCCCCGAACTCCTTGACGCCCCTGGCCAAACCTGATGAGAATATCAGAGAACCTTGTCCAAGGGGCAGTGGGGATGCAGGGGTCCCATGCTGTGCCCAAAGCCGGAAGTCTACGTGTTGGACTGGACAGAGCTACTGAAACATGCTAAGGCCCTCCCACCGAACTTGGAACAAAGTCCGCACCCCCCACCGTGACCTGCAAGGCCTGCTGGGCCCAGCCCCCATGGGGCCTTCTCCTGCGCTGTCGCCAGGGACCGCCTGCTCGCATGGCTCAGGTCCCTGCTCAGATGCTACCTTCCCTGACCACCCTGTTAAGGGGACCCCCTGACCCCACACCAGCCTCTCTATGTTTATATAGACTTGTCCCTGTCTGAAAATCTCCTGGTTTACTTATTTACTGGACTGGAAGCTTCCTGAGGCTGAAACTAGGCCAGTCTTGTCTCTGCTGGGTCCCAGAGCCCAGCCCAAGGCCCAGCACAGAGACAAGACTCATGAATGTTTGTTGGTTGAATGAATGAACGGCCGTTCTAAGTCATCCTGCCTTAGGCCTCAACAGATGGCAGACGGGAGGAGTCTGCCTGGTGCCACCTGGTGAGTGAATGAGTGGATGTTGTCATCTTACATAAAGGATGCGGAAATCAGCTTCCTCCTCCCTTCCTACCCAGTTATCCAGTTGCCCTTCAAAACCCTCAGTCTGACCCTCCGTCCACAGAACCCGGGGCAGCCGGTCCTCCTCGAGCAGCAAAGGCCCTTCGCATGGCCAGTACAGCTAAATAAACTGTCTGTGGAATAATTGATAATTACTGCACTTGAGTTCCCATTCAAGTTCAATGTTTGTGACTAAAAGCTATGTCCAAGCCCTTCAGAGGGGACACCTCCGTTCTCAGAGCATCTGCATTTCTAACCAGGCTCCTCCTCGAGCACGGAGCCCTCACTGCAGGAGCACAGAGTGAAAAGCCGCGGGCCCCTCTGCTTTCAATTCTAACAGCCACCGGAAGTGGGATCCTGGGCACCCAGCACCTTGAATTACCAAGACTGGTGAGCCTCAGCCACACTTGGAAGGCAAAGTTGGTTCTGCTCTCTTGCATTCCAACTGACTTTTCTTTTCATCAGGGGTCAGACCTTCCTCCGAGCTGGCGCAAGAGAAGCTGGAGAGGAAGGGGAGAGAGGAGGAGCAGGAGGAAACACGCTGGGCCGGCTGCGGGCGCAGCAGGAGCCATCCTCGATCACCAGGCCGAAGGAGCACCGGCTCCCGAGGGAGGCTCCCGGGGTGCGGTGGAGGCGCTCGGCTTCTCTCTTCAACAAGACCTGGAGAATGTTAATTGTTACTGTAGGTGTGTGGCGTGCAGACTATTTGTAAGTGAGAGAAGAGTTCTGTTGCTGTGACTAAAGAGAGCGCAATGGGTGTGGAAGACTGGAACCCGTGAGTTCCTCAAGCTGAGGCTCGGTTAAACCATCAATGCTTTCCTGCCAATTGGCGCTTGCAGCTCGAGCCTTCACGCCTTTGCACACAGTCGAGGTAATAACCACCGTGCTGCGAAAAGGCAGCCGGCTGGCAGGGGCCGCTCGCTGCACAGAGCGTTCTTTGGTTCAAAAAAGAAAAAAAATCATAAAATTAAAAAAAACTGTTTAAGCTTAAAAACTAAAAGGAAGCAGTTGGCTCCAGTTGTCGAAATGTTTTATAAAGCAACAGCAAGATGAAAAAAAATTAAGAATAAAAAATAAACTGTCCCAGAATGCTGAGAGAGGGCCAAAAATATTAATATGCGGGAACATGGCAAAGCTTCTGCAAGCTGTAAATATTCCCTTCGGTTCCCATGTATGATCGGCAAGGATGGTGGTCCTTTTCTCCCTCGGCTCTTCCTGTTTGAAATCTACGACAAATAACATTTCTTCAAAAAATAAAATAAGTATTAGGGGAAGAAAGTGTGTGTGTCAGAGGTCCCTGAATTTCTTATTTTAAATATTATAGGGAGGGGCCTGCCCGGTGGCACAGTGGTTGAGTGCGCAAGTTCCGCTTCAGCGGCCCGGGGTTCACAGGTTGGGATCCCGGGTGCGGACATGGCACCACTCATCAAGCCATGCTGTGGTAGGCGTCCCACATATAAAGTAGAGGAAGATGGGCACGGATGTGAGCTCAGTGCCAGTCTTTCTCAGCAAAAAGAGGAGGATTGGTGGCAGATGTTAGCTCAGGGCTAATCTTCCTCAAAAAAAATATATATATATATATTATAGGGAGGAGGTTTCAACCCCCAGAATAAGGAGAGAAGGAGAAAGATATAGATGAAACAAAGAGAAAACAGACCACCAGAAGTAAAAACTAAAACAAGATTCCATATGTGTGAATGTACTAATTTGCTGAGCACGGTATGTACACAAGTGAAGAAATTCACTGAGGGTGGGTGGTCAGAAAGGATACAGGATGCCCAGCTCAATTAATAGATAGATGACAAAAGACTTCTTAGTCTGAGTGTAGTGTCGTAGAAGGATGCTCCAGGACATTCGAATCTAACTGGACATCCTGTGTTTCTATTTGCTGAACCTGGCAGCCCTCCAGCTGAGGGCTCAGGTGGTTATGCTAATTAGGGGCTGATACCCACACGCTGATGGGACAGTGGGTCCGGCTCTGTTCACGGCTGGTTGAAGCGAGTCCTGTGCCCATCGGTCAGGAAGGGGTCTTCAGGGAGGGCTGGGGCACTGGCATCTTGAGGTCTCTATGTGACCTCGGGCCCCTATCAGCTGCAGCCACCTGGAAGCACAGTGGGTCCTGATGCGTCTTCACAGGCTCCGCTGTGCCGGGAGACTACCTGGAATGGAGACACGACCTAGGAAAAGCCGGCACCGAGCTTCTTCCTCAAGTATCATTTGCTGCTTAGAGTTGACAGCACAGCCAAGCTGCAGCCACTTGGAAATCACCCAGAGAGAAAAGGGCATCCTCACCAGTCGGGAGAGCGAGGAAGACCAGGAATATGGATGCCCCATCCTACCCCCACTGAGGCTCCCAGCCCTGGGGAGAAAGAGGGGCCCTGGAAGCCCAGAGTTCACGGTAAGACAGAGGGCTTTGCGGTCTGGTTCAAGTCCTTTCTCCTCCACCTGTCGTTTGAGCCACTTTTCCCTTCTGCAAAACAGTCACAAGTGAACCTCCCCCCGTGTAGAGAGAGTGGCGGGAGGCACCAGCCAGGGCCCGGCGAACAGTGGCGCCTCAGGGTGGCCCGGGAGCGCCCCAGCGAGCGCAGCTCTCACCTCTCAGCCCAGTCAGTGGCTGTCCACAGCCTCTTCCTCAAAACCGACGTGGTCAGAGAGCAAACCCCAGCCCCACTCAGCTCCCTTCCATCTCCCCACGCTGTTCCCAAAGCTTCGTGACCCAGGCGGAGGGCCCTGCTCGAGACAAGGCGCTATTCCTCGGTGACATTATCCGTTATCCGTGAGAGCCCAGCCCTTCTCATGTGCTCCTCACAGCCTCCCAGGATCGCCAGGAGCTCGTTCCACAGATGAGGAAACCGGGGCTCAGAGAGTCAACCCACTTGCCCAAAGTCTCTGAGACCGTCACGGCAGAGCCAAGACTTAAGCCCTTATGGACCCCAAAGCCTGTGCACTTAAACACAATAGACACCCCATTTCTAGTCCCGGACTCATCCCCCAGGATTCCCCACACAGATATTTCTGAGAAGAACAGGCTGGACTGCAAACTCTTATTCAACCTTCAAAACCCAACTCACTCATCACCTCCTCTGCACACTTCTGCCACATCCAGGGCTCACTCTGAACTGCATTCATCCTACTGTCACTTCATATACCAGGTGCACTATCCTCCCATTGCATTCATCTCCGAGTCCCTAGTCAGTGGCACTCCTGGAAGGCATTGTGTTTGCTTTTCCATTTCTGCACCCAGCCCCACTCTCCAGGGAACTCTCCAGCTGCCCTGGCCTCCTGGGTGCTCTTCAGACACACCAGGCTGCGTGTCTCAGGACCATTGCCCTGCGCTTCTCCCCTGCCTGGAAAACTCTTCCAGTCCCTTCAAACGGGTCCCGCCCTCCCCAGACCTGTGCTCAGATGTCCCTGCTCAGAGAAGCCTTCCGACCACCGGCTGAAACAGCCCGTTCCGTGCCCCCACCTGACCTCTGTGGCCTCTGGCCTCCTTCCCTGGGTTCCCTTCCTTCGCTGCACGCGTCTCTCCTGGCCCCATCGTAAGTGCCTCCATGTCCCGCCTTCATCGGCTGTCTTCCCTCCAGACACGTCAGCCCCGGGAGGACAAGGACTCTGTCGTCTTGTTCCCTCCCGGGCCCTCAGGCACACAGGCGGAGCCCCACAAACACTGCAGATGAATAAACCCTCGGGGGTCGGGCATTCACAGACATTCAGCAACGAATTTACTCTTAATTAATCTTTTTAACAGAATCGTCTTAGGAGGTCCCAGGGGAGAAGCGGACGTTGCAGCCTCTCTTCCTAGCCACCCTATTCAGTTCTCTCCAGGACCTCCTCCCTCTTGTCAGAGGAACGGCCACCCCAGAGGAAAGGCCAGGGAGGAAATCCCATCCCCTGGACGCCCCAGGCCTGCTCAGCACGGCGCTGCTTAACCCATTCAGCCCCATTCCCGCCCCCTCGCTGTTTCGGCTGAGTGGGCAGTGGGACCGCCCCGACCTTGGGCCTCCACCCCGCGCTTCCAACAGCCGAGAAAAGCCTCACGCACCTCAGGTGTGGGGAACGTCCTTATGAGAGGAAAACGCGTCCTCCAACCGCCCATGAAAGCAGGGGCCTGTTGCTGACGCAGGAAGACAGGGACGGGGAGGGAGGGAGAGCCGCCGCGAGGACAGCGGACACCCGCTTCTCAGAGTGGCCGCGGTAATTATCTAAGAGACGACGTTACACCAGCGGCAGGGTGCCGCCTCCATGCTTCTAGTCCATGAGGCTCTGGACTCCTGTGTCCCCCATGGCTGCTCAAGCAGAGAAACGCTCCCCTGGCCTGTGCAGTAGACCCACTTACTATTGTCTCTTAGACCCATCCTTCAGTCCCAGGCCCATGACAACACGGTATGGTGGAATCCTTAGGAGGTCAATGAGTCAGTCAACAAACACCAAATGCCAAATGATCATCCCAATAATGAGGGATTGGAGTCGATGGGCATGAAAGAGACAGTGCAGGGTGTGGGGTCTGAAGGCGATATTACCTGTGGATTTCATTTGGGGATTGTTACAAAGAGTGGATGCCGACAGAAATGCGTGTGGATGCTCTGCGTAAGCCATGTGCCGTAATATTCACGGCAGCACTTCCGTGGTGGCCCAAACCTCAGCCCCGATGCCGTCTGCAGAATGGAACACTAGAGAACGGAAACGAACACACTATGGCTCCTTGTATCTATATGCACGAACCCTTCAAACAACACTGGGCAAGGAAGCCGCGCACGAAGGACACCTGGATGGTCCCACTCACACGAAGCTGAAACAGTGGGAAAAATCCCCGCCGAGAGAAGTCGACAGGCGGGGCGGGCTGGAGTGACCTATTTCCTAACCCGGGCGGTGGTTACAGGCACGAGGTCTCTGTGACCGGCTCCATCAAGCTTGGTGCACTGAGGATTGGTACCCCTGTCGGTGTGTGTACCTGCATTACGGGTCTAAATGTTAAACGGGGCGGGGGGGTTAGGTGTTGAGGTCTCCCCACTGTCTTCCGCAGAGGACGGCTGCTGCAGCGGGGGCCAGGCAGGAGCGCAGGGAGGTGGGCAAGGACTCCGACGCCCGGGCAGCCCAGCCGCCCCACCCTCTCCAGGCGCCGCGCCGCCTCCGCCTCTGCGTCCCGCGTTGCTTGGCAACCGGTCTCCCGGGCGACGCGAGACGCTGAGCCCAGGGCGGGTGCGCGCGGGGCGCAGCGACACGGAGACGAGCCCCATGGCGCAGAAACCGCTCAGCACGGCCGCGGCCGAGCGCATGAACCTCGTGGCCCAGGACGAGATCTGGTAACGCCCGGATCCGGTAACCCGCGGGCTGGGCTGTTCCCACCTGAAGTGTGCTCACCTGGCGGCCTCAGTTTCCCCACCGAGTCTTGGAGGTGGCCGACCGCTGGGGGCGAGGAGCGTGCGCTGGAGGTGGTCAGGGAAACTGAGGAAAGGGGTGGATGTTAGGGAGCGGGAGCGACAAGGCGGCTTTTCTTTCTCGCTCTTCTCCTAGGCACGCCGCGAAGGCCTGGAAGATTTTGCATCTGGCTTTACGACCACCTGCAAAGCTTTGCTTGTTGAGAGCCGACTCGTGTGTTCGTTCTCATTTTTAAGATTTACCGAACTTTTTTAAAAAGTAGACAGAAATCTCAATATTTGTTCCATTTGAATGAGAGACACGTACACTTTACACCCTCTCTTGCTTTTCATGTTTTTTTTAAACAATAAGAAATTTTAATTTAAAGACTAGATTCATTTTCTAAAAGATTTGGGTTCAGCAGACATTTGTAAGGATATCTTATTTGGCATTGTATCTGACTGATAAGTATTATCCCATCTCTTTGAAGTTTTAATCAATGTGAGAAGTTGCTAATTTAGATGCAAGTTAGCGAATTTTAGTAACAGCAAACCATGACTGCTCAGCTCTGAAGCCTCCGTTTTCTTATTCCTCATCTCCGGGACTGTTGCCACCTCCTTCTAAAACTTGTAATAGTCACTTCCTATTTTTCTTTAAACTGGTGTTTCACTTAATAGATTTATTTTTACAGAAAACGTTATATCACTCTTGAAAATGGAAAGCCAGTATTATTTGGCATAAAATACACAACTATTAATGTTTTAAAAAATTTTTATCTTTCTCCAAGCAAACCCAATAGGAAACATCACCATAGCAGGATCTGTTCCCTCTGCCTGGAATGCCCTTGTCTCCCTTCTCCACCAGACAAACTCCTACTCATCCTTTAAGACCCAAATGAGATGGCCCTTCCTACGTGAACAGAGCCAGTGAAGCCGTAGACTGTTCTAGTCAATGTCCAAAGTGGGTGCTGAGCACCTGAAATGTAACTGTTCCAAGTCGGGATGAACTATAAATGTAAAATACCAGATTTCAAAGATTTCATATCAAAAAAAAAAGTGATATTAAAATTAAGTTCACCTGGGGCTGGCCCAGTGGCATAGTGGTTAAGTTTTCAGGCTCTGCTTTGGCAGCCCAGTGTTCTTGGGTTCAGATCCTGAGCACAGACCGACACACCGCTCATCAAGCCATGCTGTGGCATTGTCCCACATACAAAATAGAGGAAGATTGGTACAGACATTAGCTCAGGGACAATCTTCCTCACCAAAAAAAAAAAAATTAAGTTCACCTGTTGATTTTTACTTTTTTTTTTCAGTGTGGCTACCAAAAAATTTAAAATACCAGATGTGGCTCATATTTTTGGCTCATGTTACATCTCCACTGGAAATAGACTCAGTTTCAGATACTCAGTGCCCAGGGCAAAGAGCTTGGCCAGAGCCTCCGAAACTGCTGAGACACAGGAGGGTAGGGGGTGCAGATACTGATTTCAAAATAGAAAAAGAAACTTGAAAATCAAAATGAATAAACATTTAATTAGATTTTTGCAAAATGTGATACACCAGCTCTTCAGCTGCAGCTCAGCTCAGCTCAGAGGTGGTCACATATAAATTATATTTAATGTGGAGCAGAAACAGGGCTGGGCTTAGGCCAGGCAAGCGAGGCCCCTGGGGTGCAGTAGCTGGGAGGGCTCTGCCTCCAGGTGGTGCAGCTGCTGGCTCTGCACTGGGAACGGGCCCCCTCAAGTTCTGTGTCCCAGGGGCCCCCTCCCTCTGCCCTGGCCTTTGCCCCGAGAACAAGGGTACTTAATACGCACGTCCGTCATGGTTTAACACAGGGCCGTTCCTGCGGCTCACAGGGCCCCCAAAACAAGGAGTCCCGCACCTGCACATCCCCCCGGGCAGAGTCCACCCCGGTCCATCGCTCCCGGGCGCCGTGCAGCCAGCATCACTGGTGCTTTAGCTGCACATCTCCCTCGCGGCATGCAAGGTCCTGGGGCAGGGACCGGCCCCTCCCTGGCACAGACGCGTCACTCAGGCAGGGCGCACTGACCAATGCAAAATTCTCCCCGGTGGGCCTTTGAGGCTCCGCTGCTTTCACCATTGTCAAATGTCGGCCCCCACTCAGGAGCTTTCTGTTTCAGGAAATACCGCCTGAAAGCTGAAACTGAAGCACGGCAAAACTGGGCCCAGAAATGGGGATTTTTAACAACCCCCCTGGAGGAGGTAAATATAAATTTTATGAGCCCGGAGGTTATAGAATCAATTATTTCCAAGAGTAAACGGTTATGAAGTGTATAATTTGCAAGAATAAAATTAAAGAGCGTGTGGTGTGTGAAGCCTGTGAACTCTGACGCCTCACAGGTCCTTCCACTCACGCATTTAGGGGGTGCTGACTACGGGCTGGGCACGCTCCGGGTGCTTGATCTGAACCCGCACAACGAGCCCTGTGCCAGGGGCGCTGTCTTACACCCATTTTACACATTAGGAAATTAAGCTCGAAGAAGCGCAAAGTCACACCGCTAGTAAGGAGGCGCCATGGGGAGAAGCTGGTCTGTCTAGTTCCAGGGCCACTTGGCCTCGGACTCCCCATCTGTAAAATGGGGTGACAGTCCTCGGCTGCCTCGGTGAGTGACTGTGAGGTTCAGAGGGAATGAGGAGGAGTGAAGCCATGAGGGATCCTTAGGAAAATAGCCTGGTATTTCCTACAGCACACAGGTAACAGAAAGGGACAAGGGCCAGGCATTATTAACAGGGAGGGTGGAGATGCCAACAAGGAGACCTCTAGCCCCTTCCGGGGGCAGCCGCCATCAGCCCTGCTGATGCTGCCACCCAGAGACCAGCTGCATATGCCGATCGTTCAAGAGAGTCCGGAAGTCCACATGTTTACATGAAATCTCCTGAGTCTAGAATAGTGGTTCAGATTTACGAAACATCATAGAGACGCACCAAACGCTTGTGCGGGCTTCGTGGGGTGGTGGGTGCCAGGTTGCAGCTTTTCAGACTATCTCTGGGACACGACACGAGGAAGCCCATTTCTTTGAAGGGGTACGGACCCGACTAAGACCCACCTCATTCAAAACGTTCATGACTCAAGGCAGCAGAAACCACACCCCACTAGCTTTGAAATTATGCCATGCTTAATGAGTTTTCTTAATACGTGGAGAGTTATACAATTTGAAATTTTATGCATAAAGTGGGTCTTTATTAATATAATATGCATAAAAAGAGTCTATGTTAATATTCTCTATATGTAATTTGGGTCTTTGAAGAGTTCAAAATTGCTTTAAAAATTAAAAGGAGGGCTAGGAAGTCTCCTCTAATATTTTAAAGGTTGGTCCTGGAGCCTTGTTGGCATTGTCAAATTTGAGTCCGTAACCTGTAAAGTTTTCTCAGATTACTACTCGGGAATATAAGTTAGCGGGCTGCCACGAGCAGGCCATTGCACTTGGGGCTGAGCTGGCCCGCGTGCGAGTCCCGCTCGACCCCTTTCTAGCTGTGTGACTGCGACAAGCTCCCCAGTGTTCACGAGCCCCCCCTTTTGTCAGCTGTAAAATGCAGTGTTCTGGGGGCACGATGCAGAGGACACTTCCACCCGTCTCAGCCCGTGGTTTCCTGTCTCTGGGGCCTGTGTTTCAGCTGATCAAGGGTGAAGAAGCAGACCCCACCCCACAGCCCAAAATCGAGCTTCCCCAGCGGTTCTGCATCCGGCCAGTGACCCCAGTGGAGAAATACATCAAGGTTCGCAAAGCCGTTTTACATACTTGTTTTCCTAAGTAAGACATAAGCCCCGCCGGACGCTGTGTTCACTGCAGGCCCAGAGTGCCAGCCGCCACAGGTAAGAGCGCAGCAGGACCCCGCACGTGGGGAGCCCAGTTTCCACGCCCTCCCCAAGCCCACGCGTGGGAGACAGAGCGGGCTACTCGTCCCCACGCAGGCGCAGGCGAGAGCCGCCGCGCCTGGCTCTGCAGAAGCAGAGGGAAGCCAAGAACAGGAGGGCCGGATCCACTCGTTCTCAGCCAACATTGAAGGGAGTGGGCAGCAGAGCAGGGCAGGTAGAGCCGGGCTCGGCAGTCAGACTGCACAGCCGCTCACCTCCTGTGTGGTCTTGAGCAAGTGGCTTGACTTCTCTGTGTCTCCATTTCCCCCCCTTGGAGTTAAGGAAAGCACCTACTTCTGGGAGTGGTGTCAGGGTGCAGCGGGGTGGTGCCTGAGAGGGACCTGGAACATTACTTGGCACTTTTAGAGACTGCTAATGACTGTTATCTATCAGTAGGTGCCAGGTGCTTGGTTGGCAAACAGCGATGAGCTGGAAAACAAGACTCCAGCCCTTACTTCCGGGTGAGGCGGGGGAGGGACAAACGTGAAACAAGAAAATCAACAAAATCATTACATACTCTGCTGGGTGCCCTGGAGGAAGCAGGCAGGTGGCGTGTTGGAGGATAGCAGAGGATAAGGGGGTGCCCACTGAGCTGAGGACTGAAGGATGACAAGGAGCCAGGCCTGGGAAAGGCATTTCAGGCCCAGGGAACAGCATGTGCAAAAGCCCTGTGGCAGAACAGAGGTTGGTATGTTTCAGGAACCCCGAGGGATGTGACATGGCTGGCGCTTAGTGAGCTGGGGCGGGAAGGGAAGGGATGTGGATGGAGAAGTGGGCACGGCCAGATCCTACTGGACCTCGGAGGCCAGAGGAAGGAGCTGGGATTTGAACCCAATCTACAATG